AAAAGAAAGAGACCCAAATCCTTGTCCTCTGGGAGCTGATGGTCTAGCAGGTGGAGATTACAAGGAAATGAATGAGTAAAATGCAGGGCATGGCTAAGGAGATAAATAAATGGAGGAGAAAAGGAAGAAACACACACATACACACACACACACACACACACACACACAAAGACAAGCCAGGCAAAGGTGGCTCACGCCTGTAATCCTAGCTACTCAGGAGGCTGCGATCTGAGGATCATGGTTCAAAGCCAGCCCAGGCAGGAAAGTTTGTAACACTCTTTTCTCCAAAAAACCATTCAGAAAACCGAAAGTGGTACGGTAGCTCAAGTAATAGAGGATTAGCCTTGAGCTGAAGAGCTGAGGGACAGCGCCCAGGCCCAGAGTTCAAGCCCCATGACTGCAAAAAAAAAAAAAAGAGGAAGGGGGTGCATCTGTATGCTAAGGATTGGGTAGGGTTCAGGAAGTAGGTGGATTTGAGGGGCGCTCTCAGGAGGTAAGGGAATAGGTGCAGGTGAGAGGCACACACAGGCAGGCAAAGGCTGGAGACTCAGTCAGAAGCCCCAGAGGGAAAGTCTGGAGAAAAGAGCAAGTGTGAGGATGGAGAAGGGACTGGAATGGTGGCTTTGAGGACTGGCCTTTAGTTTGGGTGAACTGTGGGACCCCTGGGGCTCCTTGATCTTGCTGTGTGACCATCAGACCCTTAAAGGCCGTGTGAGCCCTGCTCTGTTCTGGGGCCACTGAGCTGTGTCAGACACAGCTATGCATGGGCACAGACAGGGCTGCTGACTGATCATCCAGGACTGTGAGCCTCCCCCCAAAACACAAAACAAAAAACAAGCCATATCCAGGGGGTCAGTCAGCTCTACTTTCAGAGTATTGTGGTCCCAAGAGACCTTAGGCCTCGCTCCCCCCCTCCCCTCACGCATAGGCTCTGCCACCCCCTGCCCGTTGCAGGCACCCAGGCGGCAGTAACTGGCCGCGGGAGAGAAATTACTTCCCTCTGGAACCTCGGGGCGGAGAAGGCTCCGCACAGGCACAGGACTGGCATACCGATGCCTATAGCCCGCCCCAGGGCCTGTAAAGACTAAGGCTTGGCTGGCTGCTATAGGGAGATGTGGGTCACTGGCCATGAACAGGGGTCCTGGTGGCCCAGAGAAGCATCACAATGGAGACTCTGGTCTGAGCATTGATGGTGGCCACCAAGGTGATAACCAGAAGGTTCTCTCCTGAGAGACCCAAGCCCAAATATATACATCAACATACACAAACAAGTACACACATGAGTTACAGCATGGTGTACGCCAAGGCTGTGCAGATGTGTGTCCACAGAGCTGATGTGTCACTCTAGCTGGTCCCTTGCTTGCAGGCACTGTTCCAGTGGTAAGACTAAGACATACTTGCTCTGCCCTCTGGGGTTCCCAGCTCGAGGAGAGAAGGAAACAGTCAGGTGATCAAGGATCACATGACCTGACGGTGATGTGGGGAAAAAGAGGGGTCATCTGTGGAGAGGGTTCATCAGGCGTATGCCAAAGTGACCCAGTGTGTTAGAATTGTGCCTCTAAAGTAACCAAATTGTCATAGTAACTATGAAACAGCAGTGGCCAAAGATAGACAAATGGACATGCACAGAGGTGTCTGTCCTTCCATACTGAAGCATCACAGAGCCATGAACAGGATGAGGCTCTGCTCCATGCTACAGCATCAAGGAACCTTGAAGAGCCCGTGCTCAGTGAGAGAAGCAGACACAAAAGGCCCCACCATGTGTGTGGCTCCATTGATAAGAACCATCCAGGGGCTGGGAAGGTGGCTCCGTAGTAGAGTGTTTGGCTTGCATGCATGAGGCCCTGGGTTCGATTCCTCAGCACCACATAAGCAGAGAAAGCCGGAAGTGGCGCTGTGGCTCAAGTGGTAGAGC